AGCAACTGAATCCTCCCAGATATTTGTAGCCTGGGAGCTCAGGAAACATCAAGCCTTGAACTCCGTTTAAGATGACCTTGTACTATTAGTTCCTTCAGGTGTCTGATAGAAATAGGTGAAATTACTCTTTGGAAGGACTTTTTAACTCCCCTCCAATTATTTCCAAATTTCCCCCAAAATGACACAATGTTTTAAAAATACACAATAAAAGGCAGTATAGGTGCGAATCAGCAGAAATAACAGATAACAGAAATTGATTCTCAAAGATCTTCAGATACTTGAATTACAAGATAACTATAAAATGTTCCCAGTTACTATTTTCTTTTCTTTGTTTTTTTTGTTAATCCTCACCCAAGGATATTTTTCCGTTGATTTTTAGAGAGAGTGGAAGGGAGGGAGGGAAGGGGAGAGAGGGAGAAAGAGAAACATCGATGTGAGAAAGACACATTGATTGGCTGCCACCCGCATGCACCCTGACCAGGACAGGATTGAACCTACAACTCAGGTACGTGCTTTTGACCAGGAATCAAGCCTGAGACCCTCTGGTGCATGGGCTGATGCTCTAACCACTGAGGCACACTGGCCATGGCATGGTTACTATTTTCTAAGAAATAAATGACAAGCTTGAAAAGACCCAGAAGGAACAAGAAATGGCAACAAATGAAATGGTAGTTATTTAAAAGACCAACCTAAACTTTTAGAAATGAAAAATACAATATACAAAAAGCCATCAGTGGATGACTTTAACAGAAGCTTCAGGGAGAATTAATGAACTGGAAGACTGACCAAAAGAAAAAGAAAATATCCATGCATATAAATTTAACAACTTAGATTAAATGGACCAATTCTTCAAAAACCATAAGCTACCAAAATTCACCTGATACGAAATAGATCATCAAAATACTCCCATAAATATTAAAGAAACTGAACTTGTAATTGAAAAGAAAGACCCAGGCCCAGATGGTGATAGTTTCACTGAAGAATTCTAGCTAACATTTCAAGAAGAATTAGCACCATTCTATACTACCTCTTCTAGAAATTAGAAAAGCAAGGAACATCTCCCAGCTCATTTTATAAGGCCATTATTTTTAAGAAAATAATTTCATTGATTTTTTTTTTAGAAAGAGGAAAAAAGGAGAGAGAAAGAAAAACATTGATGTGAGAAACATCAGTCGGCTGCCTCCTGCACATGCCCCAACTGGCCAGGGCAAGGCCATTATTTTGATACCGAAGCCAGACAGGAAAGTACAAAAAAAATTAGCTTACAGACCAACATCCTATGAATTTAGCTACAAAAATCCTCAATAAAATATTAGCAAATTGAATCTAGCAATATATAAAAAGAATTCTACAACATGGCCAAATGAGGTTTATTCCAGACATGCAAGGCTGGTTCAACACTTGGAAAAGAACCTATGTGATCCACTATACCAAGAGGCTAGAGAAGAAAAGTCACGATCATGTCAATTAATGTAGGAAACTCATCTGACAAAATTCAATACTGAAAAACTGTCAGTAAACCAGGAACGGGAACATCCTCAACTTAATAAAGAGCATCTACAAAAGACCTACAGCTAGCATCATGCTTGATGGTGAAAGACAATGCTTTTCTCCTAAGATAGGGAGCAAGTCAAGGTTTCCCGCTCCCACCACTCTTATTCAACATAGAATGAAGTGCTAGCCAGGGCAGTAACATAAGACAAGGAATAAAGAGCATACAGATTGGAAAGGAGAAAATAAAGCTCCTTGTTTGAAGATGAAATGATTGTCTATGTAAAAAAAATCCCAAGGAATCTAAGGCAAAACAAAAAAACCCTCCTATAATAAGAGAGTTCAGCAATTTCCCAGGTTAAAAGAGCAACACACAAAACAAATTATGCAGAATGCAGCGGAGAAAAGCAAAAAGATGGATTATTAGATTTAATCTAAATTCCAGGGGAGAGAAAATGGGGGGGAGGCATATCTGAAGAAAGATAGCTGAGAATTTCCCAGAACTGGTTTATTTCCACAGATTGTAGAAACCCAAAGACTTCCTAACAAGGAAAAGGAGGGAAGGGAGGGAGGGAGGGAGGGAGGAAGGAAGACAGGCTAGTAAGCCAGGACAAGAGGAATAGTTAAATGGCTAAGCAGTTTACAGCCATCTAGTAAATCGAAAAATCCTAGATTCTGTAACCAAGTACACTTGAGAGTAAATGGTTTACACTCCTCCCCAGCCAGAGGGTAAATAGCTTAAATCACCCAACTCCAGGAGACAGGTAGCAGAAATCCAATTTGCCAACCCCACCCAAGGACAGATGAAGTTCAGGGAATAAATCTCATTTTGGCACATCAGCATAAAACTGATGAATATTCTACTAGACCTTTCCTAAACTCCCAGCCTTTAAAACCCAGAAATGGAAGTCCCAGTGCATACTCTCCCTCTCAGGAGCATGCCCCCACTTTTCCCTTCCACTTCTCCCACAGGCATGCATTTCCTAAACTCTAAGGCCCCTCCAAGCTTGCAGCCAGGGAGCAATGGGCAGCTGCAGCCCATCCCGGGCTAACCCCCTTGACCCTGTCCCCAAAGCTCCCTTTTCTCTGACTTCTTAGTGAGTCAAAGCAGCCCAGCCTAGGCTTATTTCCCCACCTAGTCTCTCTCCGCTTGGTTCTTCTACCCTAGGCCCTTCCTTGTTTCACTGTCCCTAGCTTTAATAAATGTACTCTAAAAATAACGTGGATTCACGTTGTGAAATGTTTCCTGCAGGAAGTCAAGAACCCACAGGCGCCAGCTGGCCCTGGAAGACCCACACAGGCCAGGTCCCCTTTCTGGTAATAAAAGGAAGGAAGGGAGAAAATATCCTACCTAGACTCATGAGAGTGAAATTTGCAGGACCCTGAAAACTGGAGAAAGCTGAGGCTGGAGAAGCAAGCAGGGGCCAAGTGAAAAGGAAGTTAGGGACCTGGACTTAATGTTAAAAGCTAACAGGTAGTGTTACAGTCCTTGCCAAGCCTGGACAGACAAGTGATTTACTCATCACAGCAATTGTTTAGATAGGTACTATTATCACCTCCTTTTTGCAGATGAGGAAGTTGACACGTGAACTTTGGTGACTTGCCCAAGGTCTCACAGCTCATCAGTGGTAGAGGTCGGATTTCGAACAAGGTAGTTCTGGCTCGTTTGGGATGGTAACCACTACACATACGTTTCTTAGTACTTGTCTCTAGAAAGGGGAGTAGGAAGCCATTGAAGGTTACAATCAGGGGAATGACACCACATTTGTTTTCCAAGATCAAATTATCCTGGCACCATTGTGGATCATGGACTAAATGCAGCTTAGTGTGGAAACAGGAGTCTGTTGGAATAGAGTAGCCAAAAATAGGGAGGGCGGGAGGGCGGTGGCCGACACAGCAAAGGGATGTGCAGGGTCAGGCCCGGGAACGGGCTGCGAACAGGATTAAGGTGAGAAGGAGAGGGAGGGACGCAGGTTGCTGACTTGGGCTACTCGGTGGGCTGTGAGCGTCATTCACTGAGGGGACAGGCGTCTGGTGCCGGCAAGGTGCGCGTGCGGCGCCTGTAAAGGTAAACCGCCCACCAGGGGCGGACTTGCAGGTAGTACCGAGCCCAGAGAGC